CAAGCAAACCAACCAACCAAACACTCCAAGCAACCAAACCAACCAACCAAACCAAACCAAACCAAACCAAACCAAACCAAACCAAACCAAACCAAACCAAACCAAACCAAACCAAACCAACCAACAAACAACCAAACCAAACCAAACCCAACCAAACCCAACCAAACCAAACCAAACCAAACCAAACCCAACCAAACCCAACCAAACCAAACCAAACCAAACCAAACCAATCCAGACCAAGCCAACAAACACACAAACAAACAAAGAACAAACCAACCAACCAAACAAACAAACAATCAAACAAGCGAACAAGCAAAATCAACCAACCACCCAATCAGCCAACCAACCAACCAACCAAGCAAGCAAACAAACAAGCAAACAAGCAACCACACAAACAAGCAAACAAACACACAATCAAACAACCAAAAACCAACCAACCAACCAACTAACAAGATGAGCCAATTGCCAAATGCAGATATATGCTTCATTAGGTTGCATGCCTGCATGTGCTGAGACATGCACAGTTAGGAGCGCCTTACCATTCTCCTCGTCCGACACAGCCCCAGACGATTGCAGTCCTGTGTTAGAAACGGACTTAAGTTGGAGCCAGGCACCATCGGAGTTCATGATCTTTGCCTTGGCCGTCGGCTTCCCAAGCTTAGCCGTGCATTGAAGCGCTGGGGCCTTCGAGGTTTCAGGCGCAGGTCACGAGTTCTGATCCTGTCTACATCATCTCGATCGCTTTCAGTGCACCCACTAGTTTGTCCCCGCTGTTGTGAAGCAGGCTCAGTTGAACCCTTCAACTGAAACCGCGCCAACCTTCACTGGACAGCATGGTCTCCAGGAGTGCTTCAACAGTACGTGATACGTGCCCAAGGATGTCCTCCATGGACTTCTGATATACCTTGCCATGTACAACTAGCAGCAGCTAATAGCAGCTAGTATCATCCTCCAGCTTTTGCAGGGAATGAGTCAACGCCGTGTAACGTCGGGCTTCCGGCTTCGAGGTCATCCTTCGGTTCTTGACTCCTATCGGCGCAGCAGCCTCGGGCAAATTGACTCGCCGTTGCATTGAGAACAGCCCTGCAAGACGGTCCTTGCAGATTCCGGGTTTAGACAACTGCATCCTGAGCTCGATTGAACGCACCGGTCCGATGTTTCAGATCAGTGTCGGGTCGCCGCTGGGGTGCGGGCCTATGGTCGATAGCAAAGATGAACATCATTCTACAACGCGAAGCCTCAGCGGAGCCTTCACATCCAACATCCCCATCACACGACCCTCCAAGCCTCGAGCGCAAAATACTTAAACCATGAACCCCTGCTTTTTGACATGCTCGATCACAGCAGCTTGGACACCCTTGGCCCACCCGGCCGCCGGAAGCTTTAGCAGTTTAGGGTTTCGGGTTTAGGGGCTTTAACTTCCAGAGTTTCCGCCATCGACTCTCCAATCTTGTATGGGATGGGATGTCTGGTACTGTAGAACACACTTAAAGCCTGAAACTTTTATCTAAAATACAACCTTGTAAAGCCCGTAGAATCCAGTAAAGAACCTGCACAGAACCTAAAGTCGTAGGATCGCAAAAAGGAAAGCAGGCAAAGGATGTGTTGATAACGGGGTTGGGAACATTGCTGATGGCATGTCCTTGCGGTCTCAATGTACGCCCAACGCCCAAAACCCAATAAGCTCCAGTGTAATTCTTGAGGCGACTTGATGTTAGTCCTGGCTGGTAGTTGGGCTCGGCCTGGGCACCGTGAACAGCAGATGTAACAGTGGGGCTTATTGGGTTCAGGGATGTGCAGGATCCCTGTCGTCCCGATGTCTTCTGAGAAGTGGATGGCCGATCGAAATATGATTCAGTCCGTTGGGAGCAGATGGTCTGGAATACAATGTCTCCACGAAGAATTTAGGGCAGATGAGCATGGTCCAGGGCAACGCAGCATTGCGGCTCCAGCGGGATTGGTGGTCATGGCTTTCAGTGAGTTTAGTTCCATTTTCGAAGCCCTCATGAACCGTTTTCAGAAAATCATAGTAAGCCCCTGTTGAAATCCATTGGAAAAATATTATAAGTAAACGCTGAACAGGCCACGAACCATGGGGCTCCGACTTTCCGGTGCAGACAGAAGCCCCTAAACCCTAAACCCTAGGGGTTTTCCGAAAAGTATGGAGGGCGTTGTGAGATGCATCATGCCCTTCTTAGACGGCAAGGACTCCTGCCTGGTTGACTGTTAGTCTATACCCATAGGCCCCATAGTAGTTCGTTTTGGGGGTTTATATTTAGAATTCTATAAGGTACTCCCCAAAAGGAACTACAATGGAGCCCATGGGTAATCTATAGTGTTCACAGGGTTCGTAAGTTTGTTGCTTCTGGTGCAGTCCAGGGTGTATAGGCGCTTGCACGGTTGCAGAGGGCTGCAGGGCTTGAAAGGTTGATGTTGATGTTCTTCGGCTCGGGACGTGTCGGTAACCTGTGAAGGCTTGCCAAGATCCCAACTCATTGCGCTTGAAGTTGCACCTCAGCTCAAGCCCTCAACGTTTCGGATTGAAGCTGCACGAATTGGAGGCTGCGGGCTTTCGAGCCGAGGTTAAAACTTTGGAGCCTTCGTCAGGCATTCGACCCGGATTGTAGCCGTCGTTCTGATCCCAAAGTCATATGCCCCATCGGCTATACGAATTCCTGCCCTACTGTAGACCCTAAGCCCGAAAGCCGAGGAGCTTGCGAAGGCAGAGACCGTGTGCTCGAAATGGCGGACCTTGCCGGACCCTGCGGGCCGGGCGGAGATCCGGTGGAGGGTAATGTAGGGGCCTGAATAATTACTTATGGTATTTTTGGGGGCTTCTTAATTATGGTATAATGGGCCCCCAAAACCCTATTCTGATGATTAAAGCCCCTGCATTATGTGTACTATAGGGCTTACATGGTTTATGTGGTTTATCTTTAGGATCCTATACGGAACTCCCGAAAAGGAACTACAACGGAGCCTATGGGTATACGCAGCGGGTTCAGGGTTTATAGGGTTTAGTGTTTAGGGTTCAGGGTCTGAGAGCCTCAAGGCTTCATGCGCTTTCCGCTCCACGTTTGCCATGACTCTTCGGCATGCAGAGCAACCATTTCCCGAAAAACATTGTTCGGACTTGAGGGATTGCGGCTGAGGTGCAATGGGTGCAGGTGTAAAGCATTTTCTTTGGCATACATGAGCCTTAACTCTTACAGGTTTTAGCCGAGCCTGTGTCCAGGCCCATACGAATCTCTGCATCAGGAGACAGATGCTGCAATCTGCTGTATGACGTGCGACGTTACTTGAAATTGAGCTTTCAATGTCTTCACTCCGAACATTTTGCGCTCATGCGCTGAGAAGTCACAGCGGGACTTTGCATTAGGGCCTAGAAAGCCAGAGCAAGAACCCACTTAAGTCTCCAAGCACCGATCGTTATTCTAATGGCAAGCCGCCATGTCCCCAATCTTTCAACTCCCAGCATGTTCGTCTAATGCGGAATTCAAAGAACACGCGGAATCAACCCTAAACCCGTGTGACAGTGGCTTTGGTGCAGGACCAGATGAACACGTGGGACACGCTGCGTCAAGCCTACATCGCCCGCGCATTGGACAGAGTGCCGGCGTAGACTCCCTATAGTCAAATATGACAGGTTGTTGGAAAAGATACCACCGGCAGCGGCAGCAGCAGTGGTAGCAGCCGCAGCTTCACCACCACCACCACCACCACCACCACCACCACCACCAGCACCACCGCACACCAAACAAAGCACCATCGTCATTTTGACTGGTCGTGTTCATTGCCATATCCCGGCGCCTCGTGAAAGTGGTGGTGGTGGTGGTGGTGGTGGTGGTGGTGGAAGCGTGCTAGTGGTGGGGAGGTGTGGTGCTGGCCTGTGGCAGGTTTTTGACTGCGTGTATTCGTAGGTATTCGTAGTAGCTGTCAGCAACTATGTTTTGCTCTGCAGTGTTCTTGCTGAGGATGCATTCCTGGGATCGAGGCATCAAAGAAACACTGCAGGAAAGAATAAAGCCAGGAATCTATGCATCGCTCCGTTTAGTTTTCGTCCTGTCACGCATACATTGCCACGTTTCGCAAGCAGACGCATTAGTCTACATGCAGTGCGTACATACACACACACACACATATATATATATATACATATGTATATAACTATATATATATACATAGACACATCTATGATCTATGCATTTATTTATGTATTTTTTGTTTAGTCTGAAGTGCTCTTGCATGCAAGCCTGCTGCAAAAAGTTTGGTTGTTTGTTTACTGTGTGTGTGTATCTATATGTGTATGTATAGATATATATAGAGAGAGAGACAGAGAAACGAATAGTCGCTTTATGTTGAGGTAGATATCACACCAAAACAGGCCGCCACGATAACCCACTTTTCACGTCCCCTCAAAGCCCCATGACATATGGGGGGCCACTAGGCCGGGGGACCTAAACAGTCCCCCAAGCCCAATGAAAGAAAGAGTCAAACGAATACTTGTTTAGGGTCCACTTTACATATACATCTCCATGCACGTGTGCTTGTTTGGTCTTTTCCAGGACTGTCTCGAGAATTTGTTGGGCTGGGACGCCGACGACGGCGTGATTTGGCCGGAGACGCTCTCGCAGAGGGTTCATGCTCTCAGATTCGTGGTCCAGAGGTGCGCACATATATCAGAGATGCTCCGTGCTTCGGGTTTTGTCCCGGAAGGATTACGGGGTAGCACGAATAATTATGGCAGCTGCGTGTGAACATGGGGCTGGAATTTGGAAGCTAAGTAGCTGCTGCGAAGCCTAGATCCTCAAGGTGATGCCCTGATCCCTTGACTGCATCTGCACGCTCTTTCGACATGATGGTTAATTGAGATCCAGAGGTGTGGCACCGACCCGGAAAGCAAGCAAATTCAGCTACACAGACATTTTCGATGCCCCCTGTCTTCTTTGAGTTTGCCGGGCACTCCTGAGCCGAAATGTTTTCTTTCCCGGCACGGGCGCAAAACGCAACGTGGAGAAGCCTGCCTCTTCAGTTCAAAAAACTTAGGGAGAGCAGGTGAAAGCATGTGTTTGTGGACGGTGCAGCCGCTCGTTGGGTGCAGGAGAAGGGTGGCCCTGCAAAGCCCTATGTTGGCTTGCTGCAAAGCTTCGTGCTGGAGCTGGAGGATGGCCATAGGTGATGAGGTTGGAGAATTGTGGGGTTAACTGTATTTCACACCTTGTAGAAGGACACCTGCTGCGTGGTTGTGACTTGTCTATGTGACGGCTACATGATTCGTGGTGCAACCCGTACGATCTTGGGTCAGCGCATTGTTATTTAGGCTTGGAGCTTCGGTGATGATGGGCTAGACACCCGTCGAGCCTGTCGCGCAGGGAGGATGCTAGCACTCAGACTCGAGCAAGTGCAAGGTGCTGAACTATCCATCTTCGTCTCTCCCGTTCGGTCTGGCATGTAGTGACTGTTTATTATTGGAGACAAGGTGTAGCCTCGGAAGAATCCGGAAATAGCTACGGCTATGGAATGCTGTGGAGATACATTCTGTATGTCGGTTGCTCGCACTTTCACGCCCGCGCGACGCCATGCGAGGAAGAGAACTACTCCACGTGTTGCGAGTGCAAGGCAAACCCTAAAGTTGCTTGTGGGTTTCGCCTCCCAAAGGCTTGGTGTGTTACTATATGTCCCATAGTAGTCATTTAGTACATAGGATATACTGTATTACACTTTTTTGATGGGGACCCTAGGAGCCTCGTGCAGACTAGTTGGTCAGTGACTAGTGAGTCGTGATACAACCCCTCTAGAACTCCACCACTGTCGAAACCCTAAACCCCCTAAACCCTATATTTGGAGGGAAAAAACCGTTGGCCCAACAGCCCTTCCTAGACTGCACACCCTGTATGTACGTTCAGTCAGGGGAGGTTCCGAAGCCGAGGGGCTCCGCAGTGCAGACTCTTGGACGGCATGGTCCATATAAATGATATACGTAAGGAATACATATGTATATATATATATATATGTATACTGTTGATCCACCGTATAAATGAGCAAGCAAATAGATACATGTGCATATGTATATATATATATATATACATATACATACGTAAGCACTCCATCGAGAACTGTCTAGCTACTCAGCGGGTGTACTCTCACTCTCTCTCGATGCTCTACCTGTGTATGTGTGTGTATGTATGTGAACAGTCTGTAGGCACAGTGCCGCATGCGTTTGTTCTGAAGCATGTTGTTCGTGTTTGGAGCCTTTCATGGCTCACCGGCTGCATGATGTTGCTGTATGTAGATTGCGTAAGGTTTCAGACTTCAGACCATGCTCTCTGCAAGCCCCTCATTCGCTTCCCAGCAGAGGCTTTTGCAGGCTGGAAGCAAACAAGACCATGCTCTCTGCTAGATCTGAAGCCACGAAACCTTGCCACTTTCCCTTGGCACTAGGCAGCGAGACAGTGCCGTAGAGACAGTGCTGTACGGATCTCCGATTTCGCCTTTCGGCCCCAGATGAGAGAACGGACACAGTTGAAACCCCAAACTCCGGACGAAATACCCCACACCTCGAATATCAAACTCCGGAAGAATCGCACTGAAGCTCTGCTGGGCTTTGCGCAGGTCCACTACACGCGCTGCTGCAAAGAGGCCCTGTCCTGCCAAGACTGCGCAAAGGCCTCACATGCGCCAAAGTCACCGGTTTAGGGCTTGTAGGGGTCTCTGTAGGCGGGTTTGTCTACGTGGACTCTATGAAGCCTTCAGGCTTCGTAAAACTTGGGTAAGACCAAAGGCGAACCCCTAATTAAGGGAGTCTTTGCAGTTTTGGGTTATTTACGGCCTTCTCGTCAGCAAGGCCGTTCTACTTTAAGGTTGCATTTTGGGACCCCGTCGCCTCTAATAAACAACCTTAAGATCCTGAGCCTGGAAACCCCTGAAGGTACATACCCAGAAACGTAGATAGTGTTGTTGGGTAACCCTAAACCTTGAACTCTTAACGCAGGCTTTAAACCCTAGGCCCTAAGCCCTAAACTCAGGCCCTAAACCCTAAAATCCTAAGCCCTAAACTCAGGCCCTAAACCCTAAAATCCTAAACCCTAAACTCAGGCCCTAAACCCTAAAACCCTAAACCCTAAACCCTAAGTCGAAATCAAACCCTAAACCCTAAACCCTAAGTCGAAATAGTAAAGGAATCCTAGCAGTACACCGCCCGACCCGAGACTTGACAGGACTGGTGTCCCAAGTGTGCCAGATACGGACCTTCAAAGGCCCGACTCCAAGGGTCCCGGTGATTCGGGCTTCAGGGCTTTAGGCTTTAGGGCTTCAGGGCTTTAGGGCTTTAGGCTGAAAGTCTTAGGGTTTATGGCTTGAGGTCTTTAGGGCTTTAGAGTTTAGGGTTTTGGAGTTTTAGGGGTTTAGGGTTTTGGGGAGTTTCAGGGTTTCTTACCGGATACTTGGGCTTGGAATACAGACGCGACAGCTTCACGTTCCAATCATGTTTAGTATCACATGGGACCATCTGCGTCCTTTCGAATGCGTGAGACAGAGGGTTGAGGGTTTAGGGTGGTTTAGGACCAGGACTTGCGATAGCACATGTACATCGAACTATGCATTGGGGAGCTTGGCCCATGCAGGCCTGGGCACAGGTTTCAGGGCAAGTTATCCTGGCGTAGGAGCCTAGATGGACTTCGACTTCGAGCTTGCATCTTCAGCCTCCTTGTCTCAGGTAGTAGTCCACGGCCACGTGCATCTGCTACTGGCGGGTTATCGTTGCAAAAGGATTTCAGGAGTTTGTTGGTCCTGGAACCCTGTAAGCCATGTAAAGCCCATAAATGGCCCATAAATATACGCACAGGCATCATCGGCTTGCAAATCGACCGAATTCAACGGTTCATCTCCGAATGCCCAGGTCGAAGTCAGCTGTCCAGACTGCCCGGACTGGAGCCAAATCAGCTGCTTTGAGTGCCGCTCGCAGAATCGTAAGGGCGCTTGCACATGGGGCCCTGCTGACGACCGCTGATTTTTAGCTGTCTTAGCTTCTATTCTTGTATGCACGCATGTGCACTGTTGTATCATGTAAACTTGTGTATGCGCTTGACATGGGCATGTGTGGAAACAATATGGTTTCTTAACACCAGCATCAATTCCAAAAATGAATGAACGAGTGCTTGTCAGTTTGTGTGGCAGCGTGCGTATTCTGTACACCTTGTGTTGGTGTACTACCTTGATCGCAGCCAGGCAGATTCAATTCTCCTGCGGGTACTGAACCGACAAACGACATGTCCCTATCCTCACCGTCTGGTGCAATAAATCCGGCAAGCTATCGGCATGTCGCCATCATCGGCGATGCAGGGGTGCCTGAAGGCTTCGCTAAGTAGCAAAGGTGTATACAGGATCCGCAATGGTCGCCTCGTGTTGTGTAAGAACGATTGTCTGATTCATCAAGTCTCAGCAATCGTCCGCCTTGGTAGCACGTCATCCCATTTCTCCATCATCTGTATGCTTGTTCTAACAGTTGTATGCATGTGCGCATGAACGTCTGTTTATGTGTTCTTGGAACTTGTGATAGACGAGGCCCTCTTCGAAGTGAACAGCTTAGACCCATGTGTCCTGGTTCCTGCAGCTGAGGTTTTGTCCAAGGAAAGAGGATTTTCTGCCAGTGTGTCGGCACGGACAGCTGGCACATCGCATGTGGCCGGCATGGTCACTCGGATTTTCCTTCGGGGCCTGCGTAGACATGCCAAGTTCAACCAAGCATTCCCACTTAGCCGCTCTACGAAGTGGCTTCGCCGTGTTTGTGAAGAGTAGTTCTAGTCATGTCAGAGGGCTTACGAGGTTACGAGATTTATTAGAGCACGTGTAGGGGGGGCGCTAAGGTTGCCAATTGGCTCTGCTATGGTTTTTCAGGGCGCTGGATTGGGCTTCTTCAGTTGAGAGCTTGCGTCCGGATTTCGGACAGGTCCTTCGAGACCACTTGGCAGCAGCTATGGGGCTTTGCACGACTACTCCAGTTTTGCCAAACGCCAGCGAAACGCAAGGACACATCTGTTCAGTGCTCACTGTGTTTTTGGATGAGTTTACGACTTGATTGCCATCTCCTTCTTTGGGGAGCACGGAGCAGCGTCAGATTCTCATGCGCGCTGAAAGCACATCTGAAGGGATTCACTTCTGATTCGGCCGTGGTCTGATCGAAACCGATGCCAGCGGAAAGAACTTGTTGAATGCCATTCGTTCTGAACTGAAACCTCTTGATGGCCGTTCATTTAGCACATTCAGAGATTCAGGATAGTGGCATTGATTCAGTGCACCCAGCCTAGCGAGATGCGAGGCTTTGAGTGCAAGCGTTGCGGCGAGCAGCTCTGTTTCGTTTGCGAAGAACGCCACCGTTATGATTGCCGCGACGACGGGGAAGAGGAGGAGATACACACTGTCTGTTTTTTGTTGCATCGTTGCTGCCACCAGAACGGCATTTCTTGCATGCATTGGCCGCGGACTTGCATGACGACACTGAAGACTCAGCGCTAGCATCCAAAGCATGGGCTTGGCGGCACGTCCGTTTGAGCATGGTTGTTTTTAGCTGTTTATGGGCCTCATTTGGTTGACACATATTCTTTGTCCTTACACTGGCGCTGGAGTGAGGTTTTCTAGCAAAGGCACTTCGCTTAGGTCCCACGTATCCTGTACTTACGAGTTTCCCTTCCCAACCCAGTGGACCGCCGCGACTGGAGAGGAAGACGAAACTGGCTGAGCGCTCGGCCCGATGCCTGCCGCGTAATCTGAGCTGGCTTAGGGCAATTTAACAGCAGCAGTACTTAGTTCCCCAATACCCAACCTTTAAACTTTTTGGGTTCTTATAATGTAGTAGTAATCTGACAGTTTAACCTTTGATTTCCTTGGCTTATTGGAGAAGTAAGAGTAGTAACAACAATAGTGATGGCAATGGTCCCAACAGCAAATTCGAGTTTACTCACCACGTTGTATTCAAGAATCATAACAATACCCACAGCAATCACAACGACAACAATAAGAAGCAGAGGGACAACAATGCTAATGCTAATAAGGATAATAGGAATTGTTATTCTTACTCCTACTATTAATTACTATTGTCGTTAAATTCACGAACTCATGACGAATAAAAAATAATAATAAGACTATTGCCAAGAGTCGGAAGCTTGATTTCCTTTCGGGTCCGCCTCGGCTCAAGCAAGGTCTCGTACATCTGAACGGCGTTGGGATGGGATTTAAGGTTCTTTCAGGCTGCTACAAGGGAACTATAAGGGTTTATAGGGTTCCTTTAAAGCTTCTGTAAGGGATCTGGGTTTAGGGGTTTAAAGGTTTAGGCTGATGGTTTCTGGTTTCAGTCAGTCATATCCTGACATATCATATCCTCATTCAAGAGCCTTCCTTGCTTGGCTCAGTCCGAGTGCGAAACCCTTGTTCATAGCGGCTCGGGAAGGCTTCCCGCACAACGGTGCGGCGCCCTCGAAGCACGCAGCGTATGTCGTGGCAACAAGCGAGTGCCAGCGCTTCCAGGGGTGGTCAACGGTAGGGTGGTTTGCGGAAAGAGAGTTTAGGCTTAGGTTTCAGGTCAATGGCAGCTTTCGTCTGTCTCCAGCTGCTTAGCAAGAGCCCGGTCCTGAACCCTCGAGAACCCCAAGACTACACTAAATCAATAAGTGTGACCATAAGCTTTAAAAAGTCTTCATCATGCTTGGTGAAGCCCTGACCTTCCAAAAGAGACGTCGTACGGCCAAGGACCAGCCGCGGGTTGGAGAGACGCCGCCAGTTTTTGCCCGGGCCCGAAGGTCTGTGTGGAGTGCAGGAGTTTAAGGGTGCTTTCTGTGAGCTCTCTGCTAGGCTCGGGTCCGAACATAGTCGGCACGTCTACCCTTCCAGGAGCATGCGAGGCATCCAGCAACTTTGGACGTGCAGTCTCGCCTGAAATGCCACATGTAGTATGGCCATGGCCTGGTGCAAAGCATGAACCCCATGCAGCGAGAACTTGGGGGAACTCGAAAACATTTTTTGCGATTCTACGGTAGCCGTCCGGAGCGGAGGCAGAAGCTAGCGCAGGCCCATGAGCAGGTCGTCTTCGTCGGCGTCGTAGCTTTAGGGAGATGGAAAAACATCCGGCGCCGTTCGGGGTGCGACATTCGTTTTAGAAGGGGTGTTGGCATAATCCCATTCAGAGAACGCACCTCTCATTGCTCTTCAAGGGACGTTCAGTGCCCTTCAGACTCAGTCAAATTACGAGTAATGGAGCAGCCTCACTCCCAAAAACAGGAAATTTCCGTTGATGCACCAACTTGAGGTGTTTGCTGGGTCAGCTTTAGCTGCCGTACCTGAAGCGCGTCAGATGGCCATTATGGCGGAAAAGGGCCAAAGATCAATGCGCGCAGCGACAGCAAGATGCAGTACTGGCAGTTGTTTCACCTTTGCGAGTGCCAGCAAGGGATCCGTCTCAAACATCAAGAAACAGCAGCTCGAGCAGCCGGCGAAAGCATGGTTAGGCATCAGGAAGAAGATTCAGAGATGCGGTGCGACGTTACGATTCCGCGAACCGGGTAGGGGACTAGGGGGTGAAAATTTCAAGAAAAACCTTCGCCCAAGCCGCTCGCATAGCTCATGCTCACCCTGCAGGTGGTAGTAGTAGTAGTAGTAGTAGTAGTAGCAGCAGCAGCAGCAGCAGCAGCAAAGAAACAGTAGGAGTAGGAGCAGGAGAGGGGGTTAGGACGTGGGAGGTAGGAGGTAGGAGTAGGAGTGGTAGGTGGGACTTGGGGGTAGGTGTGGTGGTGGTGGTGGTGGTGGTGGTAGTAGTAGAAGTAGTAGTAGTAGTAGTAGTAGTAGTAGTAGTAGTAGTAGAAATAGTAGTGGTGGTAGTAGTAGTAGTAGTAGTAGTAGTAGTGGTAGTGGTAGTGGTAGTGGTAGTGAAAGTGGTAGTAGAGTAGTAGTCGTCGTCGTCGTGGTAGTCATAGTCGTAGGTAGTCGCAGTCCCACGCTGTTTTTTTCTGGAGTGGGTTTGTCAATCATTTGTCAAATTTCCATGCAGTGTTCAGGATTTGCAACGATTTGCATCAAGCCCTAAACCCTAAACCCTAAACCCTAAACCCTAAACCCTAAACCGCCGCCGGCATGCAGCTTTGAGGTCGGCCGATTGGATGTTCCCGCACAGGGTGCGGGGGCCAAGGACCGACCTGGCGCAGGGCGAGCTTTTTGATGAGTTGAGTCTGGCTCGTATTTTAGCTCTAAGCTCCTTGTGGAGTTGTGCAGTTTACAGTTGGCTCTTGCTCTTTGCCCCGCATGGCTCATATCCTAGCTACTTGACAGCTTTGCTTGCATGCGAGGGTATACGGACGTGCTTGTTCCGTTGTTCAAGACCGGGTTTGCGCAAGGTTCTCCACAACCGAAGACGGCTGGGGACTGGATTGCCGTAGCTGCAGCGCGCGATACCTCTTAACAAAAACTGAGGGCTTCATGAAGCAGGTGAGCAACGGCAGCACAGATTGCCATGTCCTGTTCCAGCTTGACCTGTCGAGACGGACTTACCTGTCTTCTTGATCTCGATGCAAGACTTCGAATTCAACCACTGCCGCAATGCGTGGTGCATGTTTTCGCACTCCGGTTTTTTGACGAGGCAATACTTGTTTTCTTCGTTGGTGAGAATCCAGCCGAAGGGGCCTAGCTGCAAACTACGAATGGCTTGCAGGGGCTTTCGTGGACCTTGTAGCAGCGGGACACGCCAGTGCTGCAAGAGGACTTTAGCTACGTCAACGGCCTGTCGGTCCACCCTAGCCTGGCCCTCAGTGGAAAGACATGAATCATGCTGCTTCAGTGAGACAGGGCGCCTAGGAGGTTGGATACCTGAAGACCTGCAAAACCCAAACAGTCTCAGCCACAAGCCTTGAACGGCACCCGAATCACTCAGGCAACCTGAAGAAACACCAAAATACGACTAGCCCACAACCCCTCATAGCATATTGGCAACCATTATTTGAGCTGACTAGATCGTCTGACGAGCGGCACCAAAACTGCAGCGGAACCCCGACTCATTCTGCTGGTCGCCAGGTACGGTCCGGGAGAGGCACTTTTCTTCAAAGAGGTTTCCACGCATAAAACTAAGCCTGTAGGGGAGGCAGCTTCACCCTCAGTCCATACACCCGATATTGTACCCTCAGGCCGTAATTTCTGCAACTCAGCAGTGCTGTGTAGTTTACTACGTTTAGCCAAGGTCAGGGCACCTATGACTTCCGCGATGGCGACGGCATTGTTCCACTTCTGCTGAGACCGTTGGGCATCGAGCTCAGCACCAGATCCTTTCACCAGTTCCTTTCCGCGCATGAGTGCTCCTGCCAAACATGGGGTGGAATCACTTGGAGCATGGTTGAGATGCCTCACCGTCGTCGCGACGACGACGACGTTTGTTCACACGCAGCGTGCACCCACACTACGTTTCCAACTGTCGTTGTTCGTGATTGCCTGTCGTTGGTAGCACTGCTTTTTACACCGCTTTCAGCATGCGCAGCCGAGATGGCTGCTGTTTTTTCCAAATTGTGATGTGTCTCGCGTGTATGCGCGGAGAGGACACAATTATACGGCTTTACTTCCTGCAACAGACGATCTGAACACGAGTCCGTACACCCGTGTTTAGGGTTTGGGACTGCGTGGGGTCGTCAGAGGATTTGTGGCTGAGCCTGTCACCACACACACACGGTGGATGGGGCTTGCATGCAAAGGCTTACAAGCTATTTGGCCTATGTCTGTCAGAAGGTGATAAATTGAATCAGGTAGCCATTAATCAGCCTGTCACGCAGACCCCCGGCTAACAGAGGTGAAAGAGCAAGTTGACAACGCCCCGCTGAAGACTCGATCCATCCCTCATGGAATGCCTCTAAAACTAAGGCATACCAAGGCACTAATAATCATCATTAAGAACAGAAAGATGACAGTATATGATATTATTCAATAATCAGAATCCCGAATGCTGAAAATAGTAAAATGATGATACACATGGTAATAATGATTAATGATTAATGACAGTAATTTATCTTTAATGATAACCAAAGTTTCTAGTATTTATGTTAGTTTCTGTTCGTTGACTATTCAAGCCCTCAGCTGGCAGGAAGACCGGGAGGCTGCAGCTCCACTGCAGCAGCCGTTTTGGCAACTTGCCTGGTGCCGGCTAATGGTGTTGGGGGGGTTTGGGGTTTAGGGTTCAGGGTTTTAGCAGAAGCTAGGGTTTCAACTTCAACTTGACACGACGCCGGAGGGGTGTGGTAGGGTCTAGGACTAGGAGTCTAGAATGGGGAGCTTCGGGGTACGGTATGTTGGGCAGGACGGTTGGTTCGTCCCTCCGTCCTCTTTTTTCCGACGCCTGGATGTCGCGATGCCCGGCGCATCTCTTTAGTCAAGCCGCCCGCCTCTTGCAGAGTGCCACCATGAAATCTCGGGCCTGGAGATGTCTCGGTCTCTCTTCTTCCCGAGTTCAAGGCTTGAGTCGAAACCCCCTCCAAAACCGCCGCCCGGGTCTGGTTCAGAGGTTCAGAATGGTTGAAGGCTTCAGCCTTGCAGAAGCTTGCAAGTTTCCTGAGTTTCCTGGCCCCGGCATCCCGACACGGAGCGAGCTTGGAGCAGAAACGAAGAACGTGAGCCTGGATTCCGGAACCTAGACCAAGAGACCCTGCCGACTCCAACAGTGATCAAGCTGCGTCTTAGAGGCTGGAGAAGTCCTGTCTCGCATGGAGGGCTTCG